TGTGTTTTCACCTAGCAGTTGAAAAGTCGTCACCCATAAGCTCTGCCATCGGCTGAAGCTTATGACGTACGAAAAGTCCAGCACACAGCTGCCTGTGGGCTGGGTGACATTACGATAACTGTTGAGTGCACGATGCGAGACAAAGGTAAGTGAACGCCAAACATTTGGCCTCCATGTTGTATTCGCGTTGCTTATGAGCTCTTTGAACTTCGAAAAATATACCTGCTGCTATCCTAACTTTCTCGATATTAGAAACCTTTGTGAATCATAGCAAGAAGGTTTTGTGGCACGTCCCTTGCATCACACAGGTCGCCCTGACTGAGGTGTTCGAGTGGAATGTGAGATTTCGCTAACGACAAGGATGTGGCGGATGACGAAACTCGGACGGTTGAATGTTGAGCAACCCACCTTTGACTCTGACGGATCGGGCCTCCAAGGTACCAATAATGGTTAAGTGGAAGGCGTCGAAGAAGTGCCGCGAACCAGTGGCCTTGTCGATGCGCTGAGAAACGGGATAAAATGAAGACGAGGTAGGAATGGTATCGGGAAGGACAGGGAAATGGTCAACAAGGACGGAGATGTCTCAGGATCAACTCGTGTTCAGATGTTCATGGTGGGGCGAGTGTACAGGATGGTCAAGAGGAATGTAGAGGACCATTCTAGCATATTGTGGAAGCTACACTCTGTTGAATTGAATATCATAGAGATAATGGGCAGATTTGTGCTCAAATTCAGACGCATTGTATGAGCAAGTCATTAGTCGAGAGAAGGAGCAAGTCTTATCATAGAAGCCAGAAGCTTTGAGATGAAAATATTGCCACATACGAGACAAATGAATATACTTAGCGAGATATGCAGGCGAGGACTTGGTTGGCAACTTGAAGACGGGTATGACACCCCATCTACCCTCCGCAAACACAAATTCCTGCGCGAATCTGATACTTGGACTTCGTTTACACGATCGAAGTCCAGCCCACACCCACACCTTCTCTGGTCCATCTTCATGCACGAACCTGTGAGTTCAAGTGCTCCTTGGCAAACTCCTCGTTCATCTGCTCCTCTTCTCCTAATTTCCCGACATGCAGTTGATGTGTCGACTCATTGAAGAGACTGTCCAGGATGCTCTGGATGGGGCAGTTGAGTAGAAGGTTGCTTTGTTATTCTACGCACGATAGTTGGGTGCTCTCTCTTTGACACATTGTGCTCTGGTGCCGACTCATCTGAGACAAGCTGTTTGTTTCAAAGCCAGATTGTGAATGGCCTCGGTCGACAATGGCGTTGTCAATGAAACGACTATACTGCGCACGAGCTCACGCGCTGAAGTTAAGCAATGACAAGTTTTTCCGAAATGAAGGAATGGTAGTCACAAGAATTCTTACAATGATCTTACTAAACTTTCTGCTTGCTAAGACGAGAATGGTTTGGACACTATCATTGTATCAACGCCCGCACGGCGCACTGGATGTTGATTATAGCAATATGATGATTGCGCAGCCAACATCAAGCGACTGCTGAAACAAACATCATGCTATTACACTTGCTGACGAGACTTACACGTGTACACGACGGACTACAGTGCATCGAACTGCCTCAAGATTTGCACCGGACCAAGGTACCGATAGTAGCACAGCCATTGACCTGCGGTGTCAGCAAAGCGCCTGAAATTACAGCATGTAAAACTGACCCAAATAGCAGGTCTCTTCAATACTTTCAACCCGTACCCCTCACCTCGATTACTGACTTTGCGCAGTGTTTCTCTGTCCAGTTCGTCTGTACAACCCAATATCCTATATCGATCAAGGTCATGCCACACGAGGAGGCCAAGTCGAGTACGTCAACTAGATGGGGACAAGCGCCATTGCGCTCATATCGGACGAGCGTAAAAGATCCACCACCATATGGTGCACAGCACCGCCAGGACGCACTTTGGGAAGGTGAGCGGCCACCGGGTGATACCCACCAGCTTATTCAATTAGAATCAGGCGGGAATGAAGCGCTTCCTCCTGTGTGGCAACAGTATAAGATGTCGTCGGATGATGAAACACTATATCAAGATGACACGCTCGTGATTAGCTCGTGGAACCGACCTTTACCAGGAGTGCGACTAGGTGAGGGATGAAATTGTGTCAAGAAGCGACGAACTTACCATAGAACATAGATTATCCTGGAGATCTCGCTGTTCCTGGATGCGAATGGCACATCTCACCACTCGGTCTGTCCTACTTCGTGAACCACAATACTCGGACTACATCGTGGAAGAAACCAAAGCCAGAACGTCCAGCAGGAAGCTTGATGCCGGAGTGCGTCATCGAGGGTCCCACCGAATGCATATGGAGCCTTGCCTACTTGGGCACCAGTGGCAATATAATGAGCACGTCTGACGATAGTTCGATTCGTCAGTGGAAAAGAGACGGAGAGCTAGTAGGAAACCCTTTGAATAGTGATGGGGGAGAAATAGGTTCGATGGTAGTATCTCCGGACGAAACGATGGTTGTTTGTGGAAGTACAGACGGCAGACTGTGGCTATGGGATATAAAGGAGGGCAGCATAATCGGCGAGCCGTGGGAGGGGCACAACGCTGGAGTGAGGTGCCTCGATTGGTCTCACAATTCCCTGGAGATAGCAAGTGGATCACAAGACGGCACCATACGACGCTGGAACCCGAATACTGGTCAACAAATAGCACCACCGTGCATAGAAACCAGTCAGGCATGGGTTGAAGCCGTCAAATATTCTCCACGAGGTGACAAGTTCATAAGTGGCGGTGCGGACAATGTGATCCGCGTGTGGTCAAGGAACGGCAAGCTGCTTATCGAGATCAAGGGACACGACGATACGGTGACGTCATTGTGTTGGTCCAAGGACGGCGCACACATATTCTCCGCATCATTCGATGAAACCATCCGAAAATGGCGGGCGATTGATGGACAGGAACTCGTCGTTTTTCGGGGTCACACCAACACCGTCAGGTCCCTCTGCCTTACTCCCAATGAAACCCATATTGTTAGCGGATCGAGTGACTGCTCCATTCGCATCTGGGATCTCAAGACCAATCAGGCAGTAGGAAATCCACTCTTGCATGATGACGAACTCAGGGCTGTTGCAATGTCCTGCGATGCAAAATATATTGCCAGTGCTGGAATAGACAAAAAAATCTATGTGTGGAGCCTGGAGGCGGCGCTCAAACACCTTGCAGTACGTATGCGCTTTGTTGTCCAATTTCCCTTTCTGACGGTTTTGACCATCTAGGGCGCAGATGATGGGAATGCAAAGCTCAAGGCAAGTCTTTCTCTGCTTCTCTTTCACCCTACATCTCACTTTTTTTATCAGGAACGTCCGGCTCAACCCAGAGTTGTGCGCCCACCAATCGTGAGCAACCCCACCTTTTCTCATGTCTCGTTAGACTCTTGATTCCCGTATTGCGTCTAATCAGCGGGCCAAAAAAACAGGACTGGCAAGATATGTCAGTGTACTTGTTCTTGACCTTTCTCGCCTGACACCAAGATACAGGGCGATGATTTCTTTGGCGATAAATCAGACCACGCGTTTCGTCGTGCAGCTCCGCACGCAAGCCCATCATCCCTTATTCGTTGGCGTTGTTTGCTCAGTTCCATACATTTCGACACACGACTTGCAAATGCATCCCAACCAATCGAACGACAGTCCCGACACTGGCATTTCAACTTCAAGTTGTTTTCTGGAGAACCTTCCACACGCACAGTCGATGTACCTCTTGCTCAAGATGAAAATGTGAGTGGCTCGCTCTTCCTCCTCTTTTGTCGCATTAAAATGCATTGCAGAGATATGGGATTGTCCCTGAAACTGATGCGGAAGCGGCTGCAGCTATGGAACGTACGGACGGCAACCAGGCCAACAGTTCAATGCAATCAGGTCAACCAGCACGAGCGCAACAAACGCAAGCACAAGGTTCAACTGGCGGAGCGGAAGACTCCGTGTATGAAGGAGTGAGCTGCTGCGGATTTTTCTTTGGTCGTCGTCGTCGTCCTGCTTCGTATCAGTCATGAAGGATGGAAGATATGTGGCACGTGCGCGCTCATTTCAGCTTTTTTTTTCCTGCACCTGTGTCTGATTCCTCCCATAATCGATATTAGCCGCCAAGACTGTCACCCACGCACTTGGACTCATCTCTCTTCGCGCACCTCCTGTTCCTTGCGCTGCTTTTCCCGGTCTACGCCACGTGTTGGCAACACCACCTGGGAAGTTGGTTCCGTTTTTTGGAATGCAGCTCTTGATAATGCAATGATCTTTTGTGTGGATGTTTGCTGGAGAGGTGACCTGTTGAAATGTCGGAGTTCAATTTCGCACAGCGGCGAGTACGTACTGCTCGAATCGTACACAGATCGTTCAACATGTGTTTGTACAACTTGGACCCTCATCGATATGAGGCTTACTGACTACTCGAAACCTACAAATCTGACTATCTCCGTACGAGGGCGTCTGTCCCATTTTCACCGGGTTGAACGTTGGGACTTGTCTCAACAGTTCTTAGCATTTTCTTACGATGAATGGTGAATTCGCATCAAGGGCATGGAGCACCCGCTTCAGCGCGAAGCAAAGTTTGCTGCTGCTGAGCAAGTCATAAAATGCAAAGTCTACCTGAGCGCTTTTCCTGATATTCCAGTTTGCCTCAAGGTCTGCTTTGCGCTCGTTTCTTTGTATGGACTTTGACTAATGTTTTCGACGGGAACGAAACTCTTTGGGTAAAGGAAAAGGGACGCTTCTCTCTGGCACGCTCCGTGAAGCTCATGTATGTGTAACGTCCCCACCGGTTCTGTCATATTTTGATTTTGGATCAAAGGGATGCCAATAAGAGAGGAATTGGCAGGTGAAGGCAAGACATCTAACACGCCTCTGTTCTATCACAGCTCTACGACAAGCAGCAAGCCCCGATTGTGAACGTTTGAACGATCATACAATGTATCACGCTTTCGAGAATTTTGTACATCCCACTGACCAACTTTCATCTCCCGCAGCACAAATAATTGAGACGACCTCGTAGCGCTGGTTTATTCACTTTGCAAATGCATTCATATTTGAATCAAAAAAACATTTGTACAGAGTAATTGGATTCCTGCGTGTCTTGTTCAAGGCAAGCCCCTCCCGCTATTAATCGCGTTAGCCACCTGACTCGTGTTCGGGCGATTGAACGCATATCTACAAGACATGTAAGTCACCCCGCACCCATCATAAACATGCACTCACCGTTCATAACTGTCTAGATACAACGCTTCATCACTACAAGTCTTCTTGAACGCAGGATGCTCAAAAAGCCTCCCTAACCAAGCTTCAAATTTGGTTCCTCGCGGCATTTCAAACCCGCGATAGTGTTTCAACACATTAGTCGCTCTGAATATCCCTGTCACGACCTTGAGTGTCTTCTATTACCATTGATGAGTAGAAACTAAAACCCACATGGTGCGACCACGACGTCCGCCCATCCCAAGTCGCCACCTTCAACCCAAAGCCCTGTCCCCCCTACCTCTCTTTCCGCGCGTTCGAAAAGCTCGACTAATGATTGAATAGCTGCGTGGAACTCTTTCCCTTGAGAAATTTGGGCCTCTGGATCTTGAGCTTGAAGATACCTGTAAAACACGGGCACGAGCGTTCGGCTGATATGATCTGATTGGAACCGGACGAGCGCTTTCGCATCTGGCAAAAGAGCACGATTTATGTATGTGAGCGTTTTCAAATTTATGTTGGGTTTCACAAACATGGATCTGTTGATGGCGGGAAGAGGCTTCTGTGCGTCGACTTTGCAGCGATACTTGGTGGTCATCAGCCAGTTTTAACAAATGTTGGGATTCTGTGTGTGGGATGAAACGCACTCTTCGAGAAAGTCGAGGATGACGGTGCTTTCGTTTAGGGCACGAGGCGGATCGAAAGTATTGAGCATGAGCGCTGGAACTAGGCCTTTCGGCGAGACGTTTAGTAGTTCTTGTGATTTTTGATAGGGATCGACTTCGTCTGCCATCCATCAAAACACGCACACAGGCATTGTCATCACCATAGTTGATACATCAATGATTGGCACGCTGACTTACAATACTAGATTATGATCACCCTCGATCAGTCTGCTCTTCACTCAAGTACGACTCGCGGCAAGATTGTCTCACTTTGTAAGGAATCTCGAGATATTCAAGGGCAGTCCATACGCGTTGTACGAATGGGCAAAAACAGCTTGCGAAGAGGGTGATGTCTTGGTCTTGAGCGTGTTGTTCGACGGTTTGGAGAGCTGGTCCGGTGCATGAGCGGTGGTAGACTCTGCCAGAGTCGGTCATGGCTGTTGTGAGGGTTATGTTGTTGATGACGTTAGTAGTATCCCCAGATGACACAGTGGTTGTTTGCGGAAGTGGAGATGGCAGACTGCGGCTGTGGAATATGAATGAGGGCAGCATAATCGGCTACCCGGACCGATCGACCCCAGCCTGACTCAGACGGACTTAGAGACGATGGAACGAAGCCATGGTTCAAATACAGTGCAGCATCGGTAAGCCAGTTAGAACTCGAAGAGTGCAACTTGATATGCTTCTTCAAGAACAGTGCACCACTGCTTCGTTCGCGGTCCGCTGAGTCAGGCCTATGTATAAGCAGTTAATATTTTAATATCCATTCAATCATACGAACTTTGTTCACTTGCATCCCAATTTCATAGGCCTATCACGTTCCTCACTAGATGCCCAACCCTCGAGGAAGAAATGGGTATGCCATTGCTCGTAAGTACATTGATGCCAGCGCTAGCAGCTCTCCCAAATTTAACGCATAAGTTTCAGCTTCAGATGAAGCTATACGGCCGCCAGTGGAACGACTTGTTGCAAGTGGCTACACTAACCCAGAAATCATTTCTCGTCTTCGAGAACACAACCGGCGTGATGTTAGAGTTGGGATATTAGAAGCGAAAGATGAATATTCTGGGGCGACTGGAAGGTGAGTCTCGTATCGACTTTTTCATAGACCACCGGTATACTAACTCAAACGAAAACATTGAAATAACAATTGCTAATAGAGTTGTCAGTATCATGGGCTTCCGTCCGATGTGGTCGGACAGTTGACTCCAATGGAAAATGGTCAGGGTATGAACTGCATAGTACGATGATTCCTGGAGAGAATAGCATCATGGACGAATGAAAGGGCAAAAACGATGAAGACATCCTTACAAGGATGCCAGCATAGTGTCCAACCTGAGAAAGTTCGTCTCCGCGAGTGACTCCAATATCTCTAATGAGCTTGACAAAGTCCAGTTGTGGTCAGATATAAGTCCAGCGAAGGGAATATATTACTCACTTGGGGAATAAACGATGTGCACTGACAGTCATAGATGCTGTCAAAGCAACGACAACAGCGAGTAGAGAGAAACACATTTTCTGTGCGAGGTGATATGGGTTCTTCTGAAGGGGATCCTGAATGATCTCTGAGGATGAGGGAACACTGTATGACAACGACCAGCTTTTACATCCTGCATATGCTTATGGGCACGATTCTCATTGGCAGAACTGTTGTCACATGGAACAAATTTCGGCAGAACCTGCGGGAGCGTATTCGATTAACAACGACCATTGAATCATAACCTGCCTGCAGGCATCGACAATTCTCTTCTTCGTAACGACAGAACCCTCGTTCGAATCACCGGCCTCTCGTCCTAACCCCTCACTCTTCGCTTCATCATTCGAACCTGCACTGACCCTGCCAATGCAACGACAAAGTCAAGAAGTTAGCATCATTCTCGCCGATACTTACAGATCAATATTAGTTAATCTTTAGTGAAGCTAGTATTGCAAGTCATGTCACGTCCGCGGCAGGCACGACCGGCCAAAATGAATGAGGCAGTGGACACCAGGTCGCAGAATGAACCGGTTGTTCTTTCAAGACTAGCAGCGCGCGAATAGCATGAGTGGAGAAATTTGTATTTCTGAATTGCAAAGAGTGGAGTGCTGCCAGAGGCAGTTCAAGCGAGTGATTTATGCGAGAGAACTCACTATCATGAACTACTATACTAACTATGGCCCCAGTGATGACAGGTTGTGATACAAGGGTCGTAATTGAACACGCTCCTGCAGGTTCTACCGAAATTTCTGCCGTCTGACCTGAGCAATAACAATTCTGCCAGATTGATCAGAATCGTGCCCATAAGTGTATGCAGAATATAAAAGCTGGCCGTCGTCCTACAGTGTCCCCCCATCCTCAGAGATACTATTCAAGATCCCCTCAGAAGATTCCATATCACCTCGCACAGAAAATGCGTTTCTCCTTCATCGCCATTGCTGCTGCTTTGACAGCATCTATGCATGTCAGTGCACAGTGTTTGAACACACCTTGCAAAACAACTGCGGATTGCTGCACAGGCACGGTTTGTGGACCTAGCGTGAGTATGAGCAGGTCGCTGTGCAACCAGGATTCAACCGCATGACTCACCTGCGCGCTTTAGGATGGAGGAATGGCCTGCTTGATTGTTAGTTAGGTTACAAAATTGAGCCGGCAGTACGAAGGGCACGTGCAGACAGTAAGTCATGCTTCTGCTTTCGCTTTGGTATCATGGCTGACAGTGCAATGCCTAGTAGTTCGCAGTCAATCAGTACAGTTGTTTTGGGACAAGTTTTTGTATTGTTCGAGCAATGTGGATGTTTGAACTTATCTGAAAAATGATCGATTGTGCCTAGTCTTACTCGTGGTTCACTGAGCTTCAAGTCGAGTTCGAGGGGCTGTCGAAGGTTCAACAGAGCTCCAGCTAAAGCCGTTTCTGACATTATGGAGCTCAGTGCCGAAGTCCATACCTTAGATATATGCCCTTTGTACAAGTATTTATCAGTGATCCACCCCCAACGTTAGGTAGTTCCGCTGTTGCTAGTCGGTCGCCATTTCGGACCTGCAACCCACCGATGCGACTCTTGACAAATCATGTGTTTTCGCCTACTTAGCAGTCGGAAAGTCGTCACCTATAAGCTCTGCCATCGGTTGAAGCTTATGAAGTACGGAAAGTGCAGCACACAGCTGCCTGTGGGCTAAGTCACGTTAAGCACTTTACGATAACTGTTGAATGCACGATGCAAAACAAAGGTAAGTGAATGCCAAACATTTGGCCTCCATGTTGTATTCGTGTTGCTTATGAGCTCTTCGAACTTCTTAAAAATATATCTGCTGCTATCCTAACTTTCTCGATATCAGAAATCGTCGTGAATCGCAGCAAGGAGGTTGGTGGCACGTCCCTTGAGTCACATAGGTCGCCCTGACCGAGGCGTTCGAGTGGAATGCGAGATTTTGCTAACGACGAGGATGTGGCGGATGACGAAACTCAGACGGTTGAATGATATTGTCTCTTTAATTCGAGTTTGATGGGCATGCAGATGCCTGCTGGGTGCGGAAAGACTCGGAGAGTCAAATATCTATCGAGCCAACAACTTAGAGATGGGCAATTTCAGTTAACGAATATCAAGCTCATATGCTGAGCAGCCCACCTTTGACTCTGACGGATCGGGCCTCCAAGGTGCCAATGATTGCTAAGTGGAAGGCGTTGGAGAAGTGCCGCGAAAAAACCAGTGGCTTTGTCGATGCGCTAAGACACGAGACAAAATGAGGACGAGGCGGGAAGGACATCGGGAAGGACAGGGAAATGGTCGACGAGGACGGATATGTCTCAGGATCAACTCGTGTTCGAATGTTCCTGGTGGGGTGAGCGTATATGATGATCTAGGGGAATGGATAGGACCTTTCTAGCATATTGTGGAAGCTACACGTTCTGTTGAATTGAATATCATAGAGATAATGAGCAGATTTGTGCTCAAATTCAGACGTACTGGATGAACAAGTCCTATCATAGAACACGGAAGCTTCAAGACGACAATATTTTCACATACGAGACGAATGACTACACTTACTGAGATATGCAGGCGAGGACTTGGTTGGCAACTTGAATATGGGTATGACATCCCATCTACCCTCCGCAAACACAAATTCCCGCGCGAATCCGATACTTGGACTTCGTTTACACGATCAAAGTCCAACCCACACCCACACCTTCTCTGGTCCATCTTCATGCACGAACCTGTGAGTTCAAGTACTCCTTGGCAAACTCCTCGTTCATCTGCTCCTCTTCTCTTAATTTCCCGACATGCAGGTGTTGTGTCGACTCATTGTAGAGACTATACAGGATGCTCTGGATGGGGCAGTTGAGTAGAAGATTGCTTTGTTTTTCTACGCACGATAGTTGGATGCTCTTTCTTTGCCATATTGTGCTCTGGTGCCGACTCATCTGAGACAAGTTGTATCGCTGTTTGTTTCAAAGCCAAAATTGTGAATGTCGGTCGACAATGGCGTTATCGATGAAACGACTATACTGCGCACGAGCTCGCGCGCCGAAGTTAAGGTTTTTCCGAAATGAAGTTCGAACTTCGAATGGTGCTCGAATTCACAGCGAATGATTTGCTTACTAAGATGAGAAGCGCAACAGAAGTAGAGCCACCTCGGAAGTACTGAAATGAGCTTTTCAGAGAAACTCGTTCGCGCTCATATATGTAGATGGAACGGGCGAGCCAATAACATAATAATCAGACACTCTCCCATACTAATCAGTTTCTGAACTGTGTACCGTATAGTAAGCCCTTCTCTCATGGTCCGCATCTTGCACACTTAACACCAGTGTGCCCTTTCTACACATACACTTCCCTCTACCCTTCCCTCCCTCTCTCTTATGCTCTTTTTTCAGGTTCTACACGAAAACACAGCCTCAGGCAAATCGGCTTCGCTTCATCGAACTCAATGGTTTGATGGGAACGTGACACTGGTGGGGATGGGCTGCCTGGGTTGTGGTGTCATGACAAGATGGTTCAGAACCAGAGTCTGGATACTAGCTGTATGAACATCCAGCGCGGGGATGTCAATCGCAGAAAACATCAAGCGATCCTTGTATATGTCCCTGTTCCCGTCAGTTATATCATTACCCGTCAGTCGTGGCGGCGCTTTACTCGGGAGTGCTGCTACGCGTTATGCACAGCGTACGGATTTGATATGTGTATGCATTTGCTCAAATAATTCCACTCGCTGACACGAGACGTACATATTAGACCAATGTACATGTAACATCGAACTACCTCAAAATTTGAACCGGGCCGAGGTAAGTGCCTGATCTGATGGTGTCACAGCCATTGACATGCGGTGTCAGCAAGGGGCCTGCAGCAAAACTGATTCAAATAGCAGGTCTCTTCATCACCTTCAACCCATATCTCTCCCTTTCCTCGATTGCTGACTTTGCGTAGTCCGTTTGTACAGCACAGTATCCCATATCGACCAAGGTCATGCCACACGAAGAGGCCGAGTTGAGCACGCCAACGAGACGGGGAGAAGTGCCGTTTGAATCACCGATATATCGGACGAGCGCGAAATATTTACCACCATATGGTGCACAGCACCGCCAGGGTGCACTTTGGGAAGGTGAGCAGCTACCTTGTGATACACACCAGCTTACTCAATTGGAAGCAGGTGGAAATGAAGCGCTTCCTCCCATGTGGCATCAGTATAAGACGTCCTCGGATGGTGCAACAGAGTATCAAGATGACACGCTCCTAATGGTCTCGTGGAGCCGACCTTTACCAGGGGTGCGACTAGGTGAGGGATGAAATTGCGACAAGGATTGACGAACTCACCATTGAACATAGATTATCCTGGAGATCTCGCTGTTCCCGGATGCGAATGGCACATCTCACCACTCGGTCGGTCCTACTTCGTCAACCACAATACTCGGACCACGTCGTGGAAGAAACCAAAGCCAGAACGTCCAGCAGGAAGCTTGATGCCGGAGTGCGTCATTGAGGGTCACTCCAAATGCATATGGAGCCTTGCCTACTTGAATACCAGTGGCAATATAATGAGCACGTCTGACGATGGTTCGATTCGTCAGTGGAAAAGAGACGGAGAGCCAGTGGGAAAACCTTCGAATAGCGATGGGGGAGGGATACTTTCGATGGCAGTGTCCCCAGATGAAACAATGGTTATTTGTGGATGTGCAGACGGCAGACTGCGACTGTGGAATATAAAGGAGGGCAGCATGGTTGGTGACCCGTGGGAGAGGCATAATGCTGCAGTGAGGTGCCTGGATTGGTCTCGCAATTCCCTGGAGATAGCAAGTGGATCGGAAGACGGCACCATACGACGCTGGAACCCGGATACTGGTCGACAAATAGCACCACCCATAGAAACCAGTCACGGATGGGTCAATGCTGTCAAATACTCTCCACGAAGTGACAAGTTCATGAGCAGTGGTAAGGGTCCGATCTGCATATGGTCAAAGGACGGCAGGCTGCTCATCGAGATCAAGGGACACGAAACCTGGGTGACGTCATTGTGTTGGTCCAAGGACGGCGCACACATATTCTCCGGGTCAGCTGATAACACCATCCGAAAATGGCGGGCGATTGATGGACAGGAACTCTTCGTTCTTCGGGGTCACGCCAACGCTGTTAGATCGCTCTGTCTTATTCCCAATGAAAACTATATTGCTAGCGCATCAGATGACTACTCCATTCGCATCTGGGATCTCAAGGCCAATCAGACAGTCGGAGATCCACTCTTGCATGATGACCAACTCAGGGCTGTTTCCATGTCGCGCGATGGCAAGTACATTGCCAGTGCTGGACTAGACAAAAAAATCTATGTGTGGAGCTTGGAGGCGGCGCTCAAAGATGTGGTACGTATGCACTTTGTTGTCTAATTTTCCTTCCTGACGGTTTTGGCTATCTAGGGCGCAGATGATGGGAATGCAAAGCTAAAGGCAAGTCTTCTCTGCTTCTCTTTCACACTACATCTCACTTTTAATCAGGGACGTCCAGCTCAACCGAGAGTTGTGCGCCCACCAATTGTGAGCAACCCCATTTTTTCCTATATGTTTTGTTAGACCTTTGACCCCCATCTTGCGTCTAATCAGCAGGCTAAACAAACAGGACTGGCAAGATATGTCAGTGTACTTGCTTGTTCTTGACATTTCTCGCCTGACACCAAGATACAGGGCGATGATTTCTTTGGCGACGAATCAGACCACGCGTCTCGTCGTGCAGCTCCTCCCGCAAGCCCATCGCCCCTTATTCGTTGGCGTCGTTTGCTCAGTTCCATACATTTCGGCACACGACCTGCAAATGCATCCCAACCAATCGAACGACAGTCCCGACACTGGAATTTCAACTTGAAGTTGTTTTCTGGTGGGCATTCCACGCGTACTGTCGATGTACCTCTTGCTCAAGATGAAAATGTGGGTGGCTCACCTGTCTTCTTTCCTCCCATTAAAACTCATTGCAGAGAATTGGTGTTGTCCCCGAGTCTGATGCGGAAGCGGCGGCAGCTATGCAACGTACGAACAGCAATCAGGCCAACAGTTCAACGCCATCAGGCCAGCCACCAGGAGCACAACCATCTCAAGCACAACCAATCCAAACGCAAGCACAAGGCTCAACTGGCGGAGCGGAAGACTTTGTGTATCAAGGTGTGAACTGCTGTGGATTTTTCTTTGGCCTTCGTCGTCCCGCTTCGCATCAGTCATGAAGGATGGACGACGTGTGGTACGCTCACACTCAGTCCAGTCCTCTTTTCCCCGCAACTGTGTCTGACTCCTCTCATAATTAATATTTGCCGCCGTGACTGTCACACACGCACTCGGATCCATCTCTCTTCGCGCACCTCCTTTTCCTTGCGCTTTTTTTCTCGAGTCCACGCCACGTATTGACAACACCACTGGGGAAGTAGGCCCCGTCGTCTGGAATGCAGCTTTTGGTGGTGCAATGGTCTTCTTGGTGGGGAGCTTGATGTTTGCTGGAAAGGCGACCCGTTGAAACGTTGAAGTTGGATTTCGCGCAGCATTGAGTACGTACTGCTCGAATCGTACACAGATTGTTCAACGTGTGTTTGTACAACTTGGATTCCGATCGATATGAGCTTGCTGACTACTCGAAACCTACAAATCCGTCAATCTCCGTGCGATGGCGTCTGTCCGATTTTCACTGGATTGAACGTTGGGACCTGTCTCAACAGCTCTTAGCATTTGCTTATGGTGAATGGTAAATCCGCATCAAGGGCATGGAGCATCCGCTTCAGCGCGAAGCAGAGCTTGCTGCTGCTGAGCAAGTCATAAAATGCAAGAGTCTACCTGAGAGTTTTCCCTGATATTCCAGTTTGCGTCAAGGTCTGGAAATTTCTTTACATGAACTTTGACTTATAATGTTTTCGACGGAAACAAAACTCATTGGACAAAGGAAAAGGGACATTCGAGTTTGGGCTACTCTTTGAGTTCTCTCTGGCACGCTTCGTGAAGCTCATGTATGTGTATATCTGACCTTATCAATTCTAAAATTCTAAGTTATATCACCCGTTCTCGGCCTGTGCAGTTCTGACTGGAAATTGCAACTCTACGACAAGCAGCAAGCCCCGAACGATCAGGCAATGTATGACGCTTTCAATGCCCCCTAGACTGGGAATTTAGTACCTCCCACCGACCAACTTCCATCTCCCGCAGCACAAACAGTTGAGACCTCGTAGCGCTGTTTTATTCACTTTGCAAATGCATTCATATTTGAATCAAAAAACATTTGTACAGAGTCATTAGATTCCTGCGTGTCTCGCTCAAGGTAAGCCCCTCCCGCTATTAATCGCATTAGCCACCTGACTCGTGTTCGGGCGATTGAACGCATATCTACAAGACATGTAAGTCACCCGGTCCCCATCAGAAACATGCACTCACCGCTCATAACTGTCCAGATACAACTCTTCGTGACTACAAGTCTTCTTAAACGCAGGATGCTCAAAAAGCCTCCCTAACCAAGCTTCAAATTTGGTTCCTCGCGGCATTTCAAATCCGCGATAGTGTTTTAATACATTAGCCGCTCTGAACATCCCTGCTCCATCACGGCCTTAAGTGCCTTCCATCCCCATCAATGAGTAGAAACCAAGACCCACATGGTGCGACCATGACGTCCGCCCATCCCAAATCGCCACCTTCAACCCAAAGCCCTGTCCCCCCTACCTCTCTTTCCGCGCGTTCGAAAAGCTCGACTAATGATTGAATAGCTGCGTGAAACTCTTTCCCTGCAGAAATTTGGGCCTCTGGACCTTGAGCTTGAAGATACCTGTAAAACGCGGGCATGAGGGTTCGGTTGATATGATCTGATTGGAGCCGGACGAGCGCTTTCGCATCTGGCAAAAGAGCACGATTTATGTATGTGAGCGCTTGCAAATTTATGTTGGGTTTCACAAACATGGGTCTGTTGATGGCGGGAAGAGGCTTCTGTGCGTCGACTTTGCAGCGATACTTGGTGATCATCACCCAGTTTTAGCAATGTTGGGATTCTGTGTGTGGGATGAAACGCACTCTTCGAGAAAGTCGAGGATGACGGTGCTTTCGTTTAGGGCACGAGGCGGATCGAAAGTATTGAGCATGAGCGCTGGGACTAGGCCTTTCGGCGAGACGTTTAGTAGTTCTTGTGATTTTTGATGGGGATCGACTTCGTCTGTCGTCCATCAAAGCATGCATACAGTCATTGTCATCACCATAGTTGATGCATCAATGATCGACATGCTTACAATACTAGATCACCCTCGATCAGTCTGCCCTTCATTCAAGTACAGCAAGATTCTCTCACTTTGTAAGGAATCTCGAGATATTCGAGCGCAGACCATACACGTTGCACGGGTGGGGAAAAACAGGTTGCGAAGAGGGTGATGTCTTGGTCTTGAACATGTTGTTCGACGGTTTGGAGAGCTAGTCCGGTGCATGAGCGGTGGTAGACTTTGCCAGAGTCGGTCATGGCTGTTGTGAGGGTTGGGTTCTTGATGATGGTGGGGCGTTAAGTACTTTCGACTCGGGACCCTGGCCCGTCACCCCTGCATCGCCGCATTTGCGCTACTGGAACGCGAGAAAAAAGCCATGGAACGATGGCCGGTTGACGGAAATGAAGTGTTGAAGTTTATGATTTTGCGGAATTGGAGCATGTTGACCAAGGTCTTGCACCAAAATCTGTTGACAACGAGATCATAGTAGTTGATCATACCTCACACGACAACGGACAGTGGGACGTGGACGCGCTGATGTCTTCTAATGGTGTTTCCTAGTGACACTTACTATATACATTGTCATACACATAGCCTTGTAGCGCTTTGAAAATTTTGCCAAGCGGCGGCAGAAGTGGTGGTTCTGCCGCTTTTGCCGGTTATGCTGGCACAATTGCTCGCAAACAATTCTGCCCCCAGCACTAACTATCGGGGTTATCGATAGGGAAGGTTCGAACCAACATAGAACCGTTCGGGCAATGGTAGACCGCGAATCTCACTCAGTTCCGGACGGAACCAAGGAAGAACCTGACCCGTTGGTCAGGCCTCAGGCCCAGTGAAAACCGGTCAGTGCAGGAACGTGTGAGAGCGTGCCACATCGTGCACCGCCAGCTGAAACCACCCTCGCACGATCTCGACAAGAAATCCGGACGAATACACGATGCAGAAGGAGTCCATATCGTGCGTCGTCGTGCGAGAGTCGTTCAAGCTGTTTCTACACAATGTGGCACTCCCTTGCATTCCTTGCGAGCGGTTTGATATCGTGCGAGAACGGTTCATATCATATTGCTTCAAGCTGTAGCTACTAGTAGTACAAAATACGGATACAATCCATGGAATGATATGCAGTTGAAACAGAGCACGAAAACAATGGAATGAAGGTAGTCCGAACAGCGCAGGCACGCAATGTGCACGCTCAATGCAAAGTACCGTCGACGACTGCGCCGACTGTATTCTTGACCCAGACGTTCGAGGAAACCTGAGTAAAGATTCGGATCAATACTGCAAATACAACTTGAAGTAACACTCACCAATTGAACCGCTTCAGACTCATAAGACTAACAGAATCGGATGAGTTCAGCATGATGGTACTACTAGTAGTAGCAGTGAGAAAAAACGATAACGTACATTGCGCTGTTGGGTATCGAGTGCGTCCCAGTAGATACGAAACTCTGCTGTAGTCCCGTCTTTCTTGACTTGCTTGAGCCAACGAAGGATGCAAAGGTCCCTGTATCAATGTCAGTACTAATGATAGCATATAAGCAGGAAAGAAATACTTGCCTCCCGTTCTTCTTACTGCTGGGACGCGCCTTGCTGGCTTTCTTCGGCACTTCGGTGGGCTCGGTGACACTGTGAATGGGAACGCTGGAGACCGAAGTGGTGGGCTGGCCGTTTGGTATGGGTGTATCAACAAGGGGGGGTGTGACCGTGACAGTCTCGACCAGAGCCTCAGGAGACTCGCCAGCAAATCCATCGACGAGGGCATTGGGTTGGGAGATGGCAGCAGCAGATTTGAGAACTGGAGTTGTAGACTCGGATGATGATGGCAGCACCAGCAGAGACTTCTGGGGAAGAGTAAGACCATCACTGTCAATAAATTCAGAATTAGCGTTGTGAAGAATTTTAAAAATCGACATACAGTGGATTTTTCAGTTTGATTTGAGGTACTGTCCAAGTCTCGATGGCAGTGGGTTTATCGCATTGCGCTGCTGATGGTGTGAGATCGGTTGAGGTAAGTTCTTCAGGTTCTGACGAAGGGGTAGTAGCGCTACTGGACAAGAGTGGAGACTCGTATGTCTTGCGTCTCTTCGTGGTATGTGTGAGATCTTCTGGCATGGCACTCCGCTTCCGGTTCTCAAGATCGTCTCCATCTTCGTCATCGCCAGAATAAGAGCCTAGATCATCTTGATCGAGTTCCTCAGGTTTGACGCCCTTAGCCCTCGCTTTTGCTCGCCTGCGTGCCGTTCGCCAAGCCGAATACACGTTCTTTGCCAGTTCGTTTGCTTTCCAGTCGTTCGAGCAGAATCTGAGTTCTGGGTGTGCTGTACCGATAGCAATATGAAAAAGAAGGTAAGCTTGTTCAGATAAGCGTCCCCAGGATGGTGGTGCAATATTCTTGGATGCCAACATCTCGAAGAGTCGACGCATTGTGCGACGGATAGAATCAATAGCTGTCGACGCGAGAGGATTTCCATCTTCATCTTCTAAGAAAGGGACTGAGCCACGCGACTTGATCGAGCCACGTCCTTCAGTGCTGTTGCACCATATTTTCCAGTCTTCGATGTCCCAAAACTTGGTGTCGTAATCGTCGGAGCTCAACGGAGGAGGTCGCAAAGGCAGGGACTGGTCGATATGTGGAGTTTTTCCATCAGCATGAGGAGGCGGAGTAAAATTGTTGGCGTCGGCATTTCGTAGTCCCACACAATCAGCAAGCATCTGAAATGCATTCCTTACTTATAGATTAGCATTATTCTAATATCACTACACTCGAAACTTACTTTAGGGTGGTGCATTCCGTTCGTAATTCTAAGTTTTCCTTCTCTAATATTTCAATTCTTTGCTGTAAAGAACGTCAGTCATGGATGTCGCGCATATATGAGTCATGTAACCATGAATTGGTCTGTATCACGCATATATGCGCCCTGTAGAGCGGTAAACACCAGACATGACATCTGTGAATATAAATAAAACTTACTTGTGTGTGTCTGTGGTATGCCTGTGTGTGGCAGGAAACGAGTACTTTGAAGTGCTTGAAAAACGAGAGTCATTTTGTGAAGGAGAAATGTCCGAATTATAAGGTTGCTGCCACGGAAAATTACTTGATGTCGACTGATGCAAAGGAAGATTAGGAGTATTGAAAACAGGAGTAATTGGAGAAGGATATCGTTGTTCGGAGAAGTTTTGTGAAGCCTCTAGGTGTTGTTGAGAGAGCTTCCTCGACCTAGCAAAGTTATGGATACCACTTTCTGTGTTGACGGCAGACATTGTGGTGGTAGGGGAAAAAGGTAAAACCTAAACATAGACGTCATAGCAAGTGTCGGTAAATTCCGATTTGTATACTACGACGTCTACACCATGTCAAGCAATATTAGGGTCAAATAAAGTTCTTGTATTGAAGGAACAACAGACGAGTGATGTATCAGTGTCATAAAACTAGTTTCTCTCCTCAGCTTCCATTTCCCGTTGGTCTACCTCGTCTTCTTGATCCTGCTCAACACCAAATTGATAAATATCGAGTCCAGGACGCTCAAGAACAAAAAAGCGATCCTCGATGACTCCAGATGGTAGAGTAGGACGGTGCGGAATCATTGCGACAACAGATTTGATAGAGGTGACATCAACAACACAGAGTCCTTCATCGCCAAGGTATTTGCATGAAAGCACAGTTTGATTTGAAAGCTGAACAAGGTCAGCATCTGGAGCGGAGAAGACTGAGATTACAGCAATATTTGCATCGTGCCATTCACCAATATTCTCCATAGCAATTGCAACCTGTGTGAAGTACTGGACTTCTGCGAAGCGGACAGTCCCATCAATAATAACCTGTATACTACAATCAGTACATGCTATGTGAAGTACAGTTAACACATACTTTGATGTGACGTGCAATGCGCAATTTCTCAAGTGGCCGTTCTGATTCACGCCAGGCAGTGCGTGCAATTTGACCACATGGAAGTCGGAGTCGAGCCCAACGATGCATCTGGGGGAGTGGTGCATGGACAAAATCTTCGAGGAGGGCTACTGTTACGCTGACCGTCGGTTGGCGTGTGCGAACTAGGATAGGTCTTCTCAGCGACGACTCGAGTGAGTCTACTGAAGCTGAGCGTGGTCTAGCCTTGACGGAACGTCAAGGATTCCTCCGGCGATCTTGGTAAGACGGCGCTCGTCGAGATGCAGGGCTAGCGGATACGTGCTAAGTCGTATGGGGGCGACTTAGAAGTGCGGTCTCACACAAGGAAGCTGGTAAGCTTAGATGAGCAAGTTCTGGGGATGAACCTAGTAGATTAAAGTAAAGTCTAAGTACAATAATCTGTGTCTACTTATAGGGAAGTACTACAAGTATTCTAGCTCAGTCTGTAATCAATAGTATATCGTAAATCTATGATAGCCAGACATGAGGTTCAGATAAGATACATGAGGCTTAACCTCTGATCAAGCATGCTGCACCAAGGGCAGCTGCGCATAGGTACAGGAAGCGCCAAGCGCGCTCCGGATCTTCATGAAGCGACATGTGGTATGCATGCGCTGATCTAGGGTGACCATGAGGCGTACAGCCTCCATGGATCAGGTACAAGGCCATCTAGGCCAGGGGCGGGTCATAGCGCCAGGGGCGGGGTCGTAGCGGTCCAGACCACTGTCTTTCTGGGCGCGGGCGGCGCACCGCCGCGCGGGGAGTCTAGCAGAGTGGGGGCAGGCGTAGGCAGAGCAGGGGCTCTTATAGGTGTTACAGATGCCTGTAACAGCTACATGAATTGCTGGTGGACGATATGGTCGCTTTTCCCTCATTCGGAGGAGGACATACCCATTGCCAAGTTCTTGATGTCCACGTGGAAGAACATTGTCAGGGGGAGCTAAGAATGGCAGTATGGACTTGAGTGCATTTGCTTGGCATCGTCGGACAGCCTCCATTGAAAGGTTTGCATATGGGTTTGAAGGCTGTCGAATTTGTTGACCAAGGTTGCCAATGGTCCGTTCCATTGTCCACTGTGCATAACACACTGGAGGGCCTTTTCATATGGTTTCACGGACGAGATGATTGACCTGGTGTACACATGGTCGGATAAAATGAATGCGATCACGACGACACTGGTAATACAACTGCTCGAATTCAGTTTCCCACTCGCCAAGTAGCAATTGAGCCTCTCGAAGCTCGTTTTGTGAGATACTGTGCTGACAGACAATGTGAATCCCTCGTACGAGCTTGCAGAAATTTAGCCATATGTCTTGTGGAAGAATGGTATGCAAGAGTGCAGGTGCAAGGCCGAAAATGTAAAGCTGGAATTCCCAAGTTTTATACTGCGTGTTGAGTTTCTCTGCTGGATTGCGAGGCAGACGATCAAATGAGCCAGGTATGTGGTAGGTTGTTGCACCAACAATTGCACCATGCTCAGTCCAAGCATCATTGTCACGAAATATGGCCCAACGCCAAGTACGAACATCATCCGAAGTGTCGCAGTTGATCATGCCTCGCCATAAGCTTAGAATTAAATCTGAAATGTTTGCAATTAGATGCATAATGTCGGTGGTCAGACAATCAGGGATTCCGAGAACATGTGCAGGGTTGAGGCCAAGTAAAAGACTGGGTTTGACGATACCGGTTTCGGTTCTGCGCTTCTCGAATTGTGTTTGATTCGGAGAACTGACAAGGTGACGAAGATTTGTGGGATAGGAACCTGAACCAGTGGCAGGGAGATTGAAAACATCAACATCATCATGACTGCACCCTCGAACAGTATAGTTCAAGGGCTTAAGGAGGACGGGAAAGTAATGAGAGCCTTGGGGTTTGCAACGGCCAATAAGTCCACAGTAGACTCGACAACCATTTCTACCACTATGGCCCACCATACCATCAAAATGGACAAGGCCAAGAGCATCAGCTGTCGGAAGAGCAAGGAATGGGTGCGAAGTGAAATTTATGTTACGAGATGCATCCCAAATGCGAAGGCCTTCATTCTGTAGTGACGCAAGGTGATGAAAACCTGGAAACAAGAACGAGTCGAAGTTTTTTGGGTTTTTGGGTCCAGGGATTACTCCGCCAGGAAGAACATACTGTTTCTTGTAGCGGCGGCTGGGGTGATGGTCGAGAATTACCCAAATGTAGATCCAACAATCAGAAATTTTGCTTTGATAGAGCTGAGCACCGTCCATTGAGATCATAAGAACTGTGTCGTTCTCATTGATGCGACCCTGCATGACAGCTTCAAGGTAGTTACTGCCGCATATGAAATCATCAATGATGTGGAGTTCGCCGTCGTGCTGTTGCAAGTACTGAAAAATTGCAGCTGTACGTTCACGACGATAGTGCATGTGTCCCGCACTCTCGGGATCACGCCAAAGTGCTTGTAACTGTGGTCCCAGGGGAATGGTATGAAACTCGCGAACAGGAACCTGTTTACCTGTTGCTTCAAGTTTCAGCTGGTCATATCGGTGTGAGTCACAGAACGGGCACTGGTCGAGATCAGAAAAGGGACCGGTGAATGCAATACAAGTGTTTAAACACATGTGGTGTTTGATTGAGTCAATACCACTAAGTTCTGCAACGAGGCGTTCGACACCACAATAAGATGGGATATCTTCCGCTCCAGGAAAACTTCTTGCTGCAGAATCAGCAATCCCCTTATATGCAGCCTGAGCTGCATGTTCAAGATGAAAGTACATCTCGATACCGTGACGAATAATTGGACTTGCGATACGAGGTGGCTGCTGAGGCGGATTTCGCAGTTTCTCAAGAGCTTCAGGTGTAAGTTTCGCAACTGGGTCATCAAGAGATGCTGCACGAAGCGCTTGAATAAATGAGAAAGCTTGGTGAAATTTTGGGAGTTGAGAGAGCTGCTCAAGCTCATCAATATCAATGCCAGGAGGGTTGGGTGGCTGTGGTTGGTTTGCAGCGGGCTCGTCATTTGGTGGATGCGGAGGCTCGTCGTTTTGAGGCTGATGAGGCTCGTCATTTGGTGGATGTGGAGGCTCCTCGTTTTGAGGCTGATGAGGCTCGTCGTTTTGAGGCTGCATGTTCTCGTCATTTGACAGAGACATAGGCTCGTCGTTTCGATGCTGCATAAGCTCATTAGTACTATGGCCATTGAATAAAATAACATACATACATGTGGACTGGCCGTGCGAGTGCGTTTTCCAGGAGGAGCATGAGTTGGACTGGCACACCGCTTGCTCAGGTATTTACGAATCAGCTGGATGGCCTCAGGATCGTCCTGTGCATTAATGATTTGCTCGCGCTCCTCGTCGGTCTCTGCTTCACGCAGGTGGTCGTAGTAAGTAGTGCGCCCGACTTGCACACGTCTCCCTCCGTGTCATCAACAGACACACCAATATAAGTTAGACATAGTATCACTCGTATAGGTCTAGTTTCGGACCAAGAATGATTCCATTGAGAAAACAAAGGCTTGTTGAATTAGCTAGTATATGTACCTAGTAGATATAGGCCTAGTACTAAGAAGGATCAGTAAGTCGTAGGCATCGACTAAGCCAGAGTATAGCGGCGCCGGAATTGTGCTTACCTGGGTGAAGTGCACAACCTGAATGCAATTGAAGATGCGAGTGCAATGTGATTGCAATGCAAAGTGTCACGAAATCTGTGTAGTTGCGACACAAATGCGAAGGGAATGCAGAGTTCACGCAAACACATGCACCTTGCAAGAAAACAGGCGTCCATTGGTTATCAACTCTATCTACATGATTTGGCACTTTGCGTAATACTCTCGCACGCTCTCACACATTCCCGCACTGACCGGTTTTCACTGGGCCTCAGGTTCGGACTGGTTCTCATTAGTAAATTCACACATTGCTTAATTTCCTTTTTCGCTCTTATTTTTCCCACCCAAGAGCAGAAAGCGACAAGAACCAGAACACCTCCTTGTCACAAAGAGCAACAAGCTGCCAAGAAGATCCCTTCCTCTTGATTTGAGCTTTTTTTTCACTTGTCCTGCACTTTTTGCACTTTTTTTAGAATGAGTTACATTACAATCCCCTTTTTCGCACTTATTTTCAACTTATTCACACTTATTATGAGGAAAAACAATTTCATTTTGAGTGGACAAGAGGATTATTGCAATTTGCATATATAATGATGCATATAAAAAAACATTCTGAAGGCTTCATATAGTGTGAGACTATTGTATGAACCTGTGCGTGTTCTATCAAACGCTTGAGCTAAGTTTGACGTCTCATCATGGTCAATAGACATATCAGTGATGATCTGAAGAGGGCCACCATGTTGGATATTAAACCCTTTGCTATAGTCACTCAGTCCCACTCTATTATCTAAGTACCTACAAATATTGTTTGTTCTTGTGCCTTGTAGCTTCCCTCAGTTGACTTTGCATGTCCACTGAGGTTAGTATAGCGAACAGATTTTGCAGGAATGTTAAGACGGAGCTAGAAACACAAGGTACGATCTCAGTCTCATTTGAAGAACTCATTATTGACATGTGCAGTAGAAACACAAGGTACGCTATGGTCTTTTGGTCAGCTAACGCTGACGTTACAGGAATCGACTAGGACTTACATCTCAGTCTCATTTGAAGAACTGAGATGTCGCTATGATAGCCATCTGGCTTTATACTAGGTGAGTAAGGAACAGAAATAAGTGATACCATTGGCCGGTTCTGGCTTGTGCTCGGACCAGCAACCTTATTGTCCCCTTTCTGTACCTATCTGTCAGATCTCTCGGCCTCCTCTCTCTCAACTCCATTGGATGATTTGGCTCTCAACAGTTAGTACTATCTTCGTACATATGTTATGTATCTAACTGACAACACCTGTAGCTGAGCTGCTACAGGTTATGAGCCCTGCGCACCTATAGTGAAAATTTCAAATTAAGTGTGCAAAGAAAAAGACTCAAAAGGATGTCTACCTTGAACAGAAAACTCAGAGAGGATTTCCTCCATATCCCAAAGCTCACCGCCAATGGCAAGAACTGGATGATGTACAAAGAATGTCTTCAGTGGTCCATCGATGCTTGGGGGCTGCTCAGCCATTTAGATGGTACCGAGACAAAGCCCATGGATCCCCAGATGCTGCCTAGGGATCCACATGGGTATACCCCGGGGTGTCAGGGACCTGACCCACACCCACACCCCGAGGTATACCTGCACCCTTCGCGCGGGTGCGGGTTTTTGGGGGGTATGGCCAGCTCATACCCTCACCCGCACCTTTTTTTATTCATTTTTTAGATCAAGTTTTATTGTCCTTTGGGGTCGGAGACCCTATGTTGGACATAGCCCTATTTGAGTGTGGGGGGCTTGCTCCTGGCTTTATATCGTATCGTGTATGTACTTTGGGTGGTATGGGTCTAAACACGTACTCCGCTGGTAATGTGTCGGGCAAAGGGAATAACTGTTGGGGGGAGGTATGTGTAAATAAACAGGTGGATTGCGTGGGTGATATATATTGGTTTTCTTCATCATCATTGGGTGCCCATGCTCTCGTTCTGTTTCTTCTTCCATCTTCTGTTCCTCGAGTGCTGCTCGTCCTGCGAGCGGCCTTCCCTTCCTGTATGGAGATGAGGGCATTAGGTGAGTGGCGAGTTTAGTGGATTAGTAGTGTTTTTGTTTGATAATAATGGATCATTCTGCTTGGGGGGTATGTTTGTGCTGTGTGTTATTTACTGTGCATGTGTGAACTTATGTACTTTTAGCGAATCTTAATCTCACTGAATGTTGATTTGAGGTGTCCTGTACTATTGATGAATTGCATTAACGGTTTCATAGCTTCTTCAGCTGTGAGGAGGTAGGATATAGAGGTGGCTTGACGATGGAGTTTGTTGGATAGTATGTGACATTCATGGGCGTATTGGGGACAGTCGAAGAGGTAGTGATAGATTGATTCGTTGATTCCTGGACATATTGGGCAGTGGGGGGTTTCGCTTTTGTTGATATGGTAAAGGTGGAGCTTGAGGGGAATGTGTCGGGTGTGGAGTTGTGTATATATGCTGGTTTGGTTGCGGGGAAGGTAAGTGATGAGTTGGAGGAATCCTTTGGATGGCATGGAGGAGTCAATGAGGTTGGCTTTCATGAATTTGGGCGATAATTTCCATTGTGCTGTCCAGTGTTTCTTCAGTGCATTTTCATGCCATTGTTTCAGGGCCGAGATGCTGTCTGGTAGGGGTTTGTCTTGAAGAAATTTTAGGAGACAGTGATTCAGGCTCATTCCACTAGGACCTTTTGCAGCATCCTTTGCTGCTTCATCTGCTAACTCGTTTCCTAATACTCCCTTGTGGCCTGGTATCCAGCGTATCGTTAGATCCAACTTCTCTTCTGGATTCATTTGTTGTAAGGTGAGTTCTCAAGTTAATCTGTGAAAATGTTCTACTAAGTATCCGCCTGGTTTCATATTATGGCTCTCACCAGATTGAATGGCTGCACAATTGTCTATGAAAATGGAGACCTATGTTTTGTTTTGTTCTGTGGCTAGTATTTTTGCTGCTAACATTAGACCTACCACTTCGGCTTCATATACGGTGTGAGTCTTGTCCAGACCTAGATTTTTTTTTTCTTTTGAATCCTTGTTTAGTGTCCGTTGGGGCGGAGCCCTATGTTGGACATTACCTACATGTATGTACTGCTATCATATGAAGTCTACTTGAGTCTTGGTTTCGTATCTTTGACAATGGTTCCGGCATGAGTGAGAATGTTGGAGCCTTCTGGAGGCAATGGGGATGGGTGATATGCGGTGACTTTAGCGGGGTTCTTCGTCTCTCCTCGGCTACTTTTTCCTCTGCTCTTCCTTTTCCTCCAGGGGGGTCACATCTCCAAAGGTGCATTCAAAGTGTTTCATGCGTGCTATGTATTTCAGTGTCGCCCTCATTCCTTTGTACTCATTGAGTAGGTACTTGACATTGCAATTGCGCTGGCCGACTTCGAGTCTCAGAGCATTGCGCTGTCTGATGAATGATGGGCAAGTGAGTAGGAAGTGGTGAATGGTTTCCTCGTACGCGTTGCATTTTTCGCATTTGGCTGACAGGGTTTTTGAAATGCGGTGCAGGTGCTTGTTGAGCGCGATGTGACCCATACGGAGTTGAAACAGGATGGAGCTGTGCTTCCTTGGCAGCATCGCGACACTCTTGGCAAACTTGTTGGAGGGAGCGGAGCAATCTATGGTGTGGAGTGTAGCGAATCTCGGTGAGTTCTGTGCGATCTTCACGGCCTCATCCTTGATTTTGTGGTAGAGTACTTGCTTGACTGCTGACTTGCTTAGTGGCAGTTCCCTGATCTCCCCCTGGTTCATCACCAACAATTCTGGGAGTGTGTGACTTTCTGACGTGTTTCCTCTGGCCGCTTCCTTCGCCTGCACGTCTGCTGCTTCATTGCCCTGGATGCCCTTGTGGCCTGGTGTCCACCTGACGATGAGTTTCCTTTCGTCATTATCCGGGATGAGTTTGTGTAGGTTGTCATGGAATGTGTCCATTAGATGATGTCCCGGTTGGGAATGGAAGGCTGCTGTGGCGCGGATGGAGGCCTGGTTGTCTACTCCCAACGACATGGTGCCCCCTCTTCCTCCTCCCTCCTCTTTGAGCAGTTGGACCGCTAAGATCATTCCTACAAGCTCGCCCTCGTACACTGTGTGTTCTGTGTCCCACCCCAGGTAGAATCTCAAGCTTCGTACCTCCTCCTCACCTCTCATGATCACTGCTGCTGCTCCTACTCCGCCGTCAATTAGGGATCTGTCCGAATACGCCTGGATGTCTTCGTTGGCTCCCATGTCCTCTTCTATTGCTCCCTCTGTCTCGTCCGTGATGCGGGTCTCTACGTCTGGGGCCCACTTTGGGTAGTGTCTGACTGGCCATATTTTCTCCATCTTGTCAGGGTTTATCTGGAATTCATACATCAGCTTGTGGAGTGGAGACGGATGTTGTTTTCTCCCCTTAAACTCTCTCTTTGCGCCATAGGAGTATGCCGCACGAATGCCTTTAGCTAGTGGGTGGAGTTGTGGGAGCGTGGCCATTCTGAGTGTTTCTCTGAGACAGATTTTCCGGAGTAGCTGTTGGAATGGAAGGACGTTAGCGTGTGCATCCAGCATATCATTAGAAGATGATCTTAGTCCGCCGGTTATTAGGAGAGTGGCCATTCGCTGGACCCTTGACATTTGCGATGTGAATCCTCGCGCTCCTTTGCCTCCCCTTTGTTTTCCTCTCCCCTTGGCCACGAGGCCTGAGCACCACACGTCTGCTGCGTACAGCATCTTTGGGACTATTACCCCCTCAAACAGTCGCTTCATCAGCCTTCCATGCATCCCTTTCATTGGGCAAATTATTCTCATACAGGCCAGCACATACTTGGTCCCTTTTGCAAAGGCATAGGCTGTGTTGAAGGTTCAACGATACAGCGAGGCACGAACAATGCTCCTGACTGTATCTATAATTGTTGTAAGGTTGCGCGTTGCCTAGTCTGCTATACTTGAGACGACAAGTGCGTTCGACCCTAAAGGGGAAGCGAGTGCAGCAAGGATCTAGAGGTATGCACTGAAAGCGCTACTGGTTGGCCAATGCGAAGCGCGGGAAAGTGCAGGTGCGCGCGAGGCGCGAGAATGCGCGAAGTGCGGTGTAGAGACTCATGCCTCTCATTGTGCAATATGGCAGTTTTCACTGGGGAGTACATGGCATGAACTTGTAGCATCACTCTGTGTGCTACCTGCAGCTATCTCTATATGAGGCGCAGCTTTCCCGCGCAATGCGCGCCATGCGCGCGTACCTTTCCCGCGCTTCACGATGTATATGCGCGCGCGCTTTCCCGCGCTGTAGCGCCCTATAGCGCCAGCCATCCAGAAGCATCCATCCACTGTCCACCAAGTTCCCTAGTGCATATATTTCCATTTCTCACATTTGCTTATCGTTCCATCTTTATTTTTATCATGGACCCTTACTTACATATATCTTTACATACCTTACTCGGTAGCGCTTCGGCTCCGCATGACAGCGCTTAGGCGCCATACTTAAGCGCCAGCAGTACATACTATGACTTACTCACTTACTCTCCCACCAGAACAACAGAACACTTACTCTCCCACCAGAACGACAGAGGACTTACTGGTTACTACCCACTATTTACCTAGCAGAACATAGTAGAAATCTATTTGTTTACACCTTGCATCTCCCTTCTCTTGTCTTACATCATATCATCACCTAAGCAAACTCACTCTTACTCTCTCTTGTTTCCGCATACACGCGCGCGCATTCCCGCGCTTCGCGCATTCTCGCGCCTTGCGCGCACCTGCGCTTTCTCGCGCTTCGCATTGGCCAACCAGTAGCGCTTTCAGTGCATACCTCTAGATCCTTGCTGCACTCGCTTCCCCTTTAGGGTCGAACGCACTTGTCGTCTCAAGTATAGCAGACTAGGCAACGCGCGACCTTACAACAATTATAGATACAGTCAGGAGCACTGTTCGTGCCTCGCTGTTTCGTTGGACCTTCAACTGGAGCCCACCGCGAGGGGAACAGTCAGCAAGATCTAGTTCTGCGCATCTTCGCGTCTAGCGCCATTTAGCACATATAGGTCAATCTCTTTGCATTTTCACAAGCTAACCATTTTTAGTCGCGCTTTCTCGCGCCTCGCGCGCGCGCCTTTCTCGCACTTCAATGCCTTATAGAATGCCCATCCGTGGCACAACAAACGCGCCCAAATTCGACAGCACTACAGACAACCTCGCCGAGTTCATTGATGCATATGAGCAGCTCGCTGATGAAGCAGGACTCCAAGGACTCGACCGCATCAAAGGTATTATTCGCTACCTTGAACGCGATGATCGAGAACTATGGGGAGGCATGCCTGAAGCGGCAGTAAGCGATTACGACGCCTTCTTAGATGAGGTGAAGGTAATGTATCCTGGATGGGATGGCAAGAGACGCTATGCACTCGCGGACTTACGCGCCATCACGCGAGAATACGCTAACAAACCTATGCCCTCTTGCACCAAACTAAGCAATTACTTGCGCGCATTCAGGAAGGTTATGCAGCCACTTATGGATGAAGACCGTATTGGAAAGGCCGAACGCGACCGCTTATTCATGGAAGGAATCCCTAGAGATGCTCAGCCGCAAATTCGCTTGCGCCTTATGATCAAGTTCCCCGACCACTATCCACACGACCCATATCCGTTCATGGACGTCTTTGCAGCTGCACAGTTCCTATTACCTGCGCGCGCTTTTCCCGCGCCAAGCGCGCCAGTTAACGCGCCT